GAAGTGATCTACAAAACATAGAATCTGACTCTGAATCCTTGTTCAAGGACTCCCAATTCAATGTTTCATACTATGTTGTCTCTCTACAGACAGAATACTGAAAATATAGAACAGCAAACCTGGATCATATTCTGACAGCAACTATGGAAGGACACACTTTGGATATTTTCCTTCTCACTGATTTTTTGGGGGCAGTTTTACTTTTCAATGCATTTGCATATATTATGAGATGTTTTCCACCACTCATCTGTCATTTTGTTGTACTGTAGTGGCTTGTGTGTTGTTGTGAGGCTGGAAGATATGCCACCAGTAGTATTTGAAGTACCAACAGGGCCACCCATGGTGGACAGGTTTCAGTAGAGCTTCTAGACTAAGAGAGACTGGGAAGAAGGATAGAGCCATCCATTTCTGAAAAATATGGACACTAAAAACCTTATGAATAGCAGAGAAACACTGTCTGATATATTTCTGGAAAACTTTATGCATAGCAGTGCAATGTAGAAGGTCAGCAAAAAAGGTTTCCCTTTTTTTGACCCTCAATGAGATGGACTGACAAATGGCTGCAAAGATAGGCTCAAGCATAGCATAGATTATGAGGATGGTGCAGGACCAGGCAGTGTTTCATTCTGTTATATGTAGGGTTGCTACAAGTCGAAGCCAACTCGATTGGACCTGACATCAACAACAATATGTTTTCAACATTTGGCATGCTGTGATGAGAATGCTAGTATTAAGGTAAAGCATGTTTTCAGGTGGCCATTAACTTTATAAGTGGTCAGATAAGGAGTCAATATTTTCATTTTATGAAAGTTCAGACAATTACTGAAACTTTAATTTTTCTATATAATTATAGTAATTTAGATAACTGTGGAAAACTGTTAAAGATACTTGGATCTATTCTATGTTTATTATTCTGCTATTCTTATAAAAATCCTTTAGTTATTGTGGTTTAAATCTAGTTATAATATTATAGTTTAATATATCTAGTAGTCATGCTTCTATCTTTAGTTTTCTATTTTCCAAATATTTCTTAGATCCCATCACATTGTTTTTTCATCAGTTTTATTGAGGTATACTTTATATGCTATAAATATTCCTCTTTTAGGTATACAATTCTGAGTTTTGACAAGCATAAGCAGTGGTGTAATTCTACCATAATCAAGATACAGAATATTTTCATCATCCACAATTTTCCTTATGCCTCTTTGGAGTCAATTCCTTAAGCCTACCCTCAACCCATTAAGAACTGATTTGATTTCTGCCCTTATAGTTTTGTCTTTTCCAGAAAGTTACATAAATGAAAGCATAGAGTCTATAGTCTTTACGTCCAACTTCTTTCACTTAACATACTACTTTTGAGATTCATCCATGTGGTGGTGGTGGCGGTGGTGTTATTGGCTTCGACTCATAGTGACCACATTACAACAGAATGAAACACTGTCTGGTCCTGTGCCATCCTTAGAAATCCTTGCTACCTTTATTGCAGCCACTGTATCAATCCATCTCAATGAGGGTCTTCCCCTTTTTTGCTGACCCTCTACTTTACCAAGCATGATACCATTCTCCAAGGAATTGTCCCTTTTGACAACATGACCAAAGTATGTGAGATAAAGTCTGGCCATTCTCACTTCCAAGGAGTTTTCTGGCTGTACTTCTTATAAGACAGATTTGTTTGTTCTTCCAACAGTCCATGGTATTTTCAGTATTCTTTCTCAACACCACAATTAAAATGCATCAATTCTTCTTTGCTCTTCCTTATTCATCATCCACCCTTCACATGCATAGAAGGCTACTGAAAATACCATGCCTTGTGTCAGGAACATCTTACTTTCCAAAGTGTTATCTTTGCTCTTTAATACTTTAAAGAGGTCTCTTGCAGCAAGTTTGCCCAGTGCAATATGTCATCTGATTTCTTGACTTCTGCTTCCATGGTGCTGATTGTGGATCCAAGTAAAATGAAATCCCTGACAACTCCAATTTTTTCTTTCTTATTGTGATGTTGCTTACTGGTCCAGTTGTAAGGATTTTTGTTTCCTTTATGTTAAGGATGTCATCCATAGTGAGGGCTATAGCCACCACTTGTCTGTGACTTTGTCTTACTGTGGTGGCTTGCATGTTGCTGTGATGCTGGAAGCTATGCTACTGGTATTTCAAAAACCATCAGGGTCACCTATGGTAGACAGATTTCAGCAGAGCTTTCAGAATAACACAGACTGGGAAAAAGGATGGGGCCATCCACTTCTGAGAAAATTGGTCACTAAAAACCTTATGAACAACAATGAAATATTGCCTGATATATCTCTGAAAACCTTTATGAATAGCAGTGAAACATCCATGCGGTAGTATGTATCAATCAACACTTCATTACTTTTTATTAGCAGTATTCCAATGTATGGCTATACCACAGTTTGTTTATCCATTTGCCAGAGGATAGACATATGGGTCATTTCTAATTGTGGGCAATTATGAATTAAGCTATTATAAACAGTATATTTGTATGAACATATATACTTCCATTTCTCTTTGATAAATACCTAGAAGTGAGATTACTGGGTCATATGGGAAATTAATATATGCATAAGTTTATGAAGTTCCTAATAAATAACAGCCAAACTCTTTTCCCAAGACCATGTTGTTTTTTATTTTACCATGTTGCATATTACCATGTAAGGAATTCTGGTGGCACAGTGCTTAAGACATTTGCCTGCCAACCAGAAGGTTAGTGGTTCAAATCCACCACCAGCCACTCTGCGGAAGGAAGATGGGACGATCTACTTCTAAAGATTAACCCCCTTGGAAACACAATGGGGGTTTCTATGAGTCAGAATTGACTGGATGGCAGTGTTTTTTTTTTTTTTTTTAATTACTATTAGCAATGTATGAAAGTTCCAATAACTCCTTTCCTTAATATTTACTATTACCAAGTTCAACTTTTACCATCCTAAGAGTTCTGGTGGTGCGGTGCCTAAGGCATTTGACTGCTAACCAGAAGGTTGGCAGTTCAAACCCACCAGCCACTTCTCAGAAGGGAGATGGGACAATCTACTTCTTAAAGACTTACTGCCTCAGAAACCCAATGGGGGTCACTGTGAGTCATAATTGACTTGATGGAAGTGGGTTTGGTTTGGAAGATATGTAGTGGTAGCTCACTGTGATTTTAATATGCATTTCCTTAATGACTAATGATGTTGAACATCATCTTATGTGCTCATCTGTCATTTACATTTCTTCTTTGGTAAAGTGTTTTTTCATCTTTTGCCCATTTATTATTTGTTATTGTGTTCTAAGAGGTACTTACATATTCTATATACAAATCCTTTAACAGATATGTATTTTACAAATATTTTCTCCCAGTCTTTTTATATTCTTTTTGTAACTATCATTTGAAGAGAAGTTCTTAATTTTGAAGTATAATATGGTACATGTTTTTCACTTCCTATGGAAGAAATCTTCTAGTAACCCAAGGTCATATGGAATATCTGCTCTGATTTTTTTTTTTTTTCAAGAAACAATACTTTTAGGTTTATACTTGTATGTATTATTCATTTGAATTAATTGTCATATTTTGTGTGAGGTAGAGTCAAGGTTCATTTTGTTTTGCTTTAAACATGAGTATGAAATTATTCTAGCATTATTTGTTGAAAAGACAAATAATGCTAGTCTTTTTCCATTGACTTGCCTCTGTATCTTTGTTGAAAGTCAACTGACCATGTACATGTGGTTCTATTTCTGGACACTCTATTCTATTCATGTGTTGATGTATCTATTCTTTCACCAATATCACAGTGTTGAATACTGTAGGTTTTTATAGGTAAGTACAGAAATCAAGATATGAGAGTCCTCTATCTTCTTTAAAAGGATGTTTTGGTCATTCTGGGGCTTTACTTTTCTAGATATATATTTAAGAATCAGCTAGTCAATTTCTAAAACAAGCTGGCTGGGATTTTGATTGGGATTGTACTAGATCTATGTATCAATTTGGAGAGAATTGACATCTTGACAATATTGAGACTTCCAAAGAATTAACATTACTATATCTCTGTTTGGGAACATTTTAATTCTTGATTATGGACTTGAGAAATATTTTATCAGGTACCAATTATTATTTTTTCATTTATTGAACTTTTAACTGAAATGGCATTAAATATAAATTTATAAATCATGATAAACATATCTCCTCTTTTTCAATGACTATAAATTGTATTATGTTTCCAATGTAGAACTATTTCAGCATTTTTAAAATACATTATTGCTGTGAAGTGCTCTTTGGGAAAATGGCTTCTGGGGTTGAGTAACTCAGGATATATTTCATACTATATGCAGTCTTCAGAATTGCATTGGTCATTGGCCTTACACTGTTATTGGGTATTAAGAATACTGTGATATTATTTGCTTTGCTTTCCTATTATTTTATTTATACATTAAAAAGCTTCTTTCATAAAAGAAATTGATGTATACCACTTTCTTGTTATGTTTTTAGTGGGATGGTTATGCTGCTCAGGTAAAATAATTTGTAAAATAATAAGTTTTCCTCTTTTTTTCCCCCATGTTATGGGAAAATATACATTTTATAGTACATTATTTTTTATGGTATTTAACAAGATTTGTCATGTATGTGAATCACGCCATTTGAGATCAAGAGTAATAACAATGGCTTTTTCAGCATTCGTTACATTTTATCACTGTATTTAAATTAAAAAAAATATTTTCTGCTATTCAAGTATTTTTGACAAATAATTATAATCGGTAAGATTGAGTGTAAAATGGTATGTTCACTGACTACTTTGAGAAATCCTTAATTTTTTATATTAGTCACCCACTTTTTGCTCAAATTCCTAGCATTGAACTCCAATCCCTTGGAAGTCTGGCACACCGAAACAAGTAGGCCAACAATAGGAGTGCTGCTAGATAGTAGGTAAATATGAAGAGATGTACACATTCAGACCAATCAGACTTCCAGCTTGACAAACTACAGAGAACAACGAAAAGGTAATACTCACATCCGAGTTAAAGCGAAGCTGACAGACATTACAAGAAATAATTTGTTTCTTCTTGGGGGGAATGGACACTCCAAATGTATGGTTTATGACTGCTTTTTGCACAGGATCCATCTGAGGAGTAAATGATAGAACAGTCGATTTGTAACTTAAACATATAGACAATAACATGAGCAAGTAAAAGCAGATGTATTCTTCCTTATTGCTTTGTCTTTCAACTGATGGAAATAATGAATCTCAGTCAACAGTAACGTGCTTGTTCTTCTCCAGGAATTAAAAACAAAACAAAACAACTGGTCAGAAATCATAAAACAAAAAATGCAGGAGAATCACTGCATACAATGAAATCTTGTATCTATATAAAAAGCCTCAAAAAACCTGAAAAAAATAATAAAACAAGAAAACTTAACATTCAAAGTCAAGGTTAACTTTAACTTGTTAATAGTTTCTTTATATGAAGTGATAATACTTAAGATGTTCTCAAATGATCTCAGTAACAATCATTACATATTTAAAAAATATACTTAAGCTTCTTAGTTTTGATTTGTGGCAAAGTCATAAACGAAAGTCATATCATAGCACATAAAATGTCACTCTTTATTTTAAAATAAATTATTATCTTTCATATACTACAGATTGAAATTCATTCTACTGGAAATGCATATTGCAATGGTACACTCAAATACCCAGAGCATATTGGTTAATACACATCCGTTGTTTAAATATTGATCAAGTAAAGTGTTTACTTGTAACCTGTGATTTCCAATCCCCCCCCACCCCAACTGGTTTACATGTACCATACATATTCAGAGATATATACAGTGATTAAAGTACACCATAAAAAAAAAATATGGCACAAAGCCATTAAAATGCTTGGAGAAAGAAAGACCTCTATCCACGAAGCCTATAAAAAGAGAGACACAGCAGTGATTCTCTTGTGTACTCCAGATAATAATCTCCAGCATTAACATCAGACAACTGGCAGTTCAAAATACAATGCAGATGATGAACAAAGTGTAACTTATAAGCAGATGTAACATGAACAAAGATAGATTCACTAACACCATCATCTAGGAAATCTCCTGAAGTAAGAGTTTAGGATTGGATTAGTTGATGATATTAGATAGAGATGAGAAATGAATACCATCCCTGATCATAACTATAAATCAACAAAGTGCAAAATTAGCAATGAGAATTTAAAAATGTTACAAAGGAGGATGGACTGCAGAATTACTGAATAGTGAGGCAGCCTATTTTCTGCTACAGGTTTAAGAGACAATGTATTCCCACAGTTAAGGTGGTTTGGGACATTTACAACAGGAATGAAAAAAATGCAAGAGGGAAGTTTTTCTTGAGTGACAGAACTGACCTATACCTTTATTTTAGTGGTGGTTAGACAAATCTATTCATGTTACAATTCACAGAATTATACACAACCCACAAATGTTATATATGATGATTTTAAAAGAAAAAAAAATATTGTAAGAATATTGTTTTACTACTCAACATAAAATATCATTACTGGAAAATCTGGGGATCATTTGTTCAAGGCCATTAATTGATTGTATTAAATTTTATGAAATGAGAATACAGAAGAAAACCCCTCCATGGGGCAAAGGAAATCACAATGTGTCAGATTATAAAACTCTAGTTACTTTTTTATTTTACTCACAAGTGCATAAACTTAGATGCCATCTATCCATTTGGAAAACATGAAACTACATTTTCTGACAGTTAAAAGAGATGGCAAGTCAGTTAAGACAGCCTTAAAAATGAAATAGCCTAACTATAAGGAAAGAACTACATTGTTTTACAAAGCTGAAAAACCACAGGCATTTTACTGAGATATTTTCTGTTCTCAGGCTCTGAAATACACCTCATATCTGGTGGCATGTGAACTACACTAGCTATAACTATACAAATAATTAAAAAATGGTTGCAACAGAGCATCAACAGGACACTATTAGAAATCAAAGCTGGTTTCAGAAGAGATTATGGAACAAAGAATATCACTGCTGATGTCTGATGAATCATGAGTGAAAGCAAAGAATAGCACAAAGATGCCTACTTGTGTTTTATTGACTATTCAAAGGCATTCAACTGTGTGGATCAAACACTTAATTGTGCCCATAAGGAAACTATACATAGACCAAGAGTCAGATGTTCAAACAGAACAAGAGGGTACTGTGTGACTTAAAATCAGGACAGGTTTGTGTCAGGGTTGTATACTTTTACCACATTTATTCAATGTGTATGCTAAGAAAATAATGTAAGAAACTGGATTATGTGAAGACAAATGCAGCATCAGGATTGGAGAAAGACACATTAAAAACCTGCAATATGCAGATGACAAAACTTTACTTGCTGAAAGCAAAGAGACTTGAAGCACTTACAAATGAAGATCAAAGACTACAGCCTTCAGTATGAATTACACCTCAAGATAAAGAAAATAAAAATCTTCACAACTGGATCAACAAGTACCCTCATTATAATTATAAAAAAGATTGAAGTTGTCAAGGATTTCATTTACCTAAGATGCAAAATTAACACCAAAAGAAGCAGCAGTCAAGAAATCAAGTGACAGAGAGTTCTGGTAAGATGGTGGAATAGGCAGACAGGCTGCACAGACCCTCTTCAACAAAGAAAAGGGGAACCAATTAACACATATATAGAAGATAATTCTGGATCCCTGAGCCTTGAATGGGAGGATACAGAAGTGGACTAAACTCCAACCAGTGGAAGAACTTGAATGAAAACACCAAAAAAGGAGACATATGGAGCTGCAGTCTGTCAGTGATCCTGATGGCACAGACAGCTTGGATGTTGCTCAGTGGTGTTAAGACCTAAGAATTAACCTAAAAATCGGCCCTGCTAGGCAGGGGCTGCACAGAGGAATGCACTGGTGGCTGGTGAATAAAAGGAGAAGCAGCGAAGAGAAAGGCAGGCTGAGCTGTGGACTTTTGCCTGTCTGGAGGGTGCAATCATTTTGAACGTTACAAGTGGTTCGACCATTTTGGATATTTAAAGTGACAACGTCCTCCCAGATTCCAGGGATTTAAGAATAGGCTCCACTTGCTGGGAACCACAAGGACAATTCAGATGCAAATGACTGGATAGTTAACAGAGATCTGAATAAAACAATGTCACAATGTCTCAGAGACAAGAGACCATCATAGTCCATACAAACAAGCAAGATAAAGCAGTAGATAAAAGGGAGATGCATACAGATCCAGAAAACATCTCTGAGGAAGAAGCAGCATAGGAACTCCCTGATAAGGAATTCAAATGAACTATATTTAGGTATCTTCACCTGAGACATAGATCAAGGAAAACAATGACAAAATTAAGGAAAACACAGACAAAAACCTAGAACAATTTTGGGAGAAAATACAAGAACAAAATGACAAAATAAGTGAACGACTAGAAATGATACAAAATCTACAGATAGAAATACAGAAGATTAATACTAAATTTTCAGAAATAGATAATACATTGAAAGGGCAAAGGAGTAGAAATAATCAATGGAAGACAAAATTAATGAGACTGAAGACAAAAACCTGAATACTTCTTTGGAATACTTCTTTGGAAAGGGGTCAATCAGAAAAAAGATCAAAACAAAATGAAGAAAGCCTAAGGTTCATATGGGATACCATCAAAAGGGATAACCTACATGTAATCAGCATTCCAGAACAGGAAGAGAAAAAGAAGACCACTGAAAAAATTGTCCAAGATTTGTTGGAAGAGAACTTCCCTGATATGATGAAAGATGAAAATTATATCCATTCTGTATTCTGAATATCCAATTCAGGAAGTCTAATGAACCTCAAACAGGATAGACCCCAAAATAACCAAAGACATATCATCATCAAACTCATCTAAACCAAAGACAAAGAAAAAATCACGAAAGCAGCACAGAAGAAATGAAGTTACTTACAAAGGACAACCAGTAAGAACAAGCTCTGATTTCTCAGCAGAAACTATGCAAGTGAGAAGGCAATGGGGTGGTATGTATAAAACCCTGAAAGAGAGAAATTTCTAGCCAAATATTATATACCCAGCAAGACTGTCCCTCAAATATGATGGTGAAATTAGGACATTTCCAGATAAGCAGAAATTAAGGGAATTTGTTAAAACCAGACCAACTTTACAAGCGATACTAAAAGGAGTCCTTTGAACAGAGAACCAATAACAGCAAACAACAACCGACCATTAATATACAAGATGACATGACCTAGAAACCAACACAGCTATGGAAGTATCCAAAGTAAAATAAGCTTACAAGATTGTAAACAGGAAACCAGAGACATCAATTGGCAAATGAGGACAACTACAAACCAAAAAGAGGGAAAAACAGTGTAGTTACAGACCTACTAAATGGTGAGGAAGTCAAGAGAGTTGCAAGATACAATGGACTGTTCTAAATTCAGGCAGAAAATTATAAATCAAAGGAAACTTCAAAGAAAAATGATAAAGCTTCACATCATAATAAAAAAGAAGAGAAGCACAAATATTTAGCAAATACTAAAACAATAGCAACAAAGGAAATGATAATATGATTCATAATGAGCTCAGCACAGAAAATTATATGGAACAAAGAAACCAGGAACCAAGAAAAAACACATAACAAAATGACAGCAGTCAATTCATACTTGTTGATAATTACACTGAATGTTGATGGATTAAATACACCTCTCAAGAGACGGAGAGTTGCATACTGGAGAAGAAAACATAACCCATTAATATCCTGTCTACAAGAAACACACCCTAAAGACAAAGACAAAAATAGACTAAATATTAAAGGTTGGTAAAAGATATATCAAGCAAATGGCAACAGTAAAAGAGCAGGGAGGCAATATTAATTTCTGATCAAATTGACTTTAAGACAAAAACTACCATAAAAGACAAGGAAGGACATTATATAATGATTAAAGGATCACTTGAACATGAAGATATAACCATAGTAAATATCTATGGATCCACTGAAAGAGCCCCAAAATACATAAATCAGACTTTAAAAGAGTTGAAAAGGCAAATAGATGACTCCACAGTTGTAGTGGGAGACTTTAATACACCAATTTCAATGAAAGATAGAACAACTGGAAAGAAACTCAACA